CAAATAATAATCGGCCAAACGATTCTCAAGTCTGTGGCTTTAATGCTCAAAGTGACACCAAAACGTACACAAAACATCACTATGTACACAAAACGTCACTAACTCCCTTCAGAAATTTCCACTCTCTTATTTGCATCTTCTGCCGCTGGAAACGATATTTGTGAAAACTCTGACTTTCCTTCCAGGAAGCCTGTCATCTGTTTGGTGTTTGCATTCCCATGTCACACTTTAAGTGGATATTAACTTGTCTGTCTTCCTTGGCTGGAAGGCAAACACTGCCTCGTACTTGGCTCCCTATCTCTATTACGGCATACCTCGAAGATATGGAAGGTTCGGTTCCAAACCGCTGTAATGAAGCAACATCACAATAAAGCAGGTTGTAATCTTCTCTGCTGGTAGAGGGACTTGCCTCCAATTTGTAAAAACAAAAAAACAAAAACAAAACACAATAGCCCTTGCTGGGCAGCTCAGTTAGTCAGAGCATCTTCCTGTACACCAGAAGGTGGTGGATTCGATTCCAGGTCAGGGTGCATGTCTAGGTTGTGGGTTCCATCCCCAGTTGAGAGTGTATGGGAAACAACTGACCAGTGTTTCTCTCTCACATTGATATCTCCCTCTCCCCTCCCCCCCCTCTCTCTCTGCCTTCTTCCTTCCCTCTCTCTCCCCCTCCCTCCTCTCTCTTCTCTCCTCTCTCCTCTCTCTATCTCTGTCTCTCTCTCTCAAATCAATAAATAGCACAATAAAACGAGGCATGTCTGACACATAATAGGTACCTGATAATATTTGTGGGAAGGAGGGAAGAATTTTTGAAAAGCTCAGTCTGTTTAGGAATTGGTGTAGCTGAGGTAGAATTACTAGTAAGTGGCATAAAACAGGGACACCTCAGTCACTAAGGAGGAGAGCTGCCAGTGAAAGTGGTCGAGAACCTCCCATCCTCTGCATGGCGCCAGCGAGTCAGAGGTTAAAAACTTTTTAACTTTTTCCCCCTGGTGATATAAGGAATGCATGTTTACTGTAGAAAACTTCCAAGAGTACAGAGAACAAACACCACCTATAATTCTTAACGTTTGATAACATTGTCTTTTTTCTTTCTTAAGTTTTAGTCTTTTAGTTAACTCTTAGCCTTTTTTCTTTACGATTAGATAGGAAAGTTTAAGACGTTTCATGACTGCTTGTGAGTACAAAGAGGATAAAGTACCATTGGAAAAATACTTGTCACGTGCAATAAAAATTTGAGATGCTGTTTTTGTTGTTGTTAATCTGGGCAGTGAGCTCCGCAGAAAGCCTTTCCCAATCTTCTGGTGAGTGTGATCTCTCACCTAGAAAGTTCCTTGGGCACTTTTCTTGTCTCCCCACCCCGCTCCCGCACTGATTTGTGGGAATGCTGTACCTTCCTAGGATGAGGCCAGGCTCGAACCTCTGAAGACCAGTTCAAGGTGGACTTGAATGAGAATTTATATGCCTCATGGATTTCCCCCAACCTGTGAAATATCACTCAGGCGATAGCACCTTTGAAAGAAAGCAAGGGCATTTACTAGCTTAGTCCTTTGTTTAATAGACATACTGACTACTTTCTGTGCATTAGTCACTGAGCGCGGCATCAGAGCCTCAAAATGAACAGACAGTGCTTGTCCCCGGGGAACATGCAGTTTATTTTTTATTTTATTTATTTATTTATTTAATATATTTTATTGATTTTGTACAGAGAGGAAGGGAGAGAGATAGAAAGCTAGAAACATCGATGCAAGAGCGTCATCGACCAGCTGCCTCTTGCACACCCCCTACTGGGGATGTGCCCGCAACCAAGGTACATGCCCTTGACCGGAATCAAACCCGGGACCTTTTAGTCCCCAAATCGGCGCTCTATCCATGGAGCCAAACCGGTTTCGGCGGAACTTGCCGTTTAATGAGAGAAAAAGAAGTAAACAAGGATTATAGCACAATATAATAATGCCACAACAGCAGCTCACTGAGGGCTTAACGAAGAGAATGTGCAGAATTGATCAGAGGAGGCTTCAAGATGAAGGATGATTGAGTTGGGTCATATTGGAAATGTGGGTGGTATTGTTGTTTTCCATGCAAACAGAACATTATGTCCCGCGTAGAAAATATGAGGTACATATCTCTGGGGGAAATGGAAGTCGTTTGGCATATCTAGAACATTAGATATATTAGAGACAGGAAATGAGGCAAGGTGGGAAGAACTTGAATGTTAGAGCTTGGACTTTCTGTATAGGACAGTGGTCGGCAAACTCATTAGTCAACAGAGCCAAATACCAACAGTACGACGATTGAAATTTCTTTTGAGAGCCAAATCTTTTAAACTTAAACTTCTTCTAATCCCACTTCTTCAAAATTGACTCGCCCAGGCCGTGGTATTTTATGGAAGAGCCACACTCAAGGGGCCAAAGAGCCGCATGTGACTCGCGAGCCGCAGTTTGCCGACCACGGGCATAGGCTATGGGGAACCACCGAAGCATTTTAATCCAAAGCAAAGGCACAGTCAGGGATACCTTTTAGAAAAGTCATGCATCAGTACAAAGGCTGATGGAAGTGGGCTAAGCTGAAGGTAGGTGAGTGGTTAGGAGGCTATCAGAACAGTCCCAGCAAAAAATAGGCAGATGTCTAGAAACAGATCTATTGAGACAGGAAGAGAATGAGTGGCTGCTTGAAGCGAGTGGGGGGTGGGGAGGTGCAGGGCGTGACTGTAAATGGGCCCAGGGAGCTCTTTAGAGGGAAGGAAATGTTCCCGGTCTTCATGTGGTGGTGATTGCACAGTTCTGGAAATTTTCTAAAAACCATTGAATTATACCCTTAAAATGAGTGAATGTTAGAATGCGTAAATTATACCTCAATAAAACTCAGAGCGATGGTTGGGGAGAGTCAAGGGCTTCTTTTCTGAACCAGCAATAGCGTTAAGAGGAGACAGATGTGAGAAACACCGATCAAGAAGTAGAATTTGGGCCGAAACCAGTTTGGCTCATTAGATAGAGCATCGGTCTGCGGACTGAAAGGTCCCAGGTTCGATTCCGGTCGGGGGCATGTACCCGGTAGGGGGTGTTGCAAGAGGCAGCTGGTCGATGTTTCTCTCTCATTGACATTTCTGGCTCTCTATCTCTCTTCCTTCCTCTCTGTAAAAAATAAATAAAATATATTTTTTTAAAAAAAGAAGTGGAATTTGTAAGCGTTAGATGTTGATTGTATCCATATGATGGTCACCTGTCTATTCCGCTAAGTGTCCTAATTGTGCTTCTACAGTTTTGTAAAAAGATGTGGGTTTCAGAGCATATGGATCTGCCCTTAACTAGCAATACGGGATCTCTGGGTTCTTATAAAAATCAGACCCTCTAGTTCTCTGCCGCCCACTTCCTCATAAGCACTTGGTTGTGAGCCGGGGAGAGGGCGAGTGGGAAAGACTGCCTGAAGGACATATGGTCCATTCATTTCTCTGGGATCGTTCCTCAGTGGTACTTACTGAGTGCCGGATCTTACCCTGGTAATGGAGCAGTGAAAAAGCAAATACAGCGTCTGTCTTCATGGGGCATGTGGTCTAGCAGTGGGGATAGATGTTATTGACAGTGATGGTGACTATCGTGTCGTATTTCCACGTGCACTAGGAGAACATGACCTGCTAGTGGAGATCTGAAGAACAACGCTGGGGTGGGGTGTGGCTACAGACACCGGCCCTGTATCCATGCAACTCCATTCTTTTGTAGGGAGTGAACCTTTTGAGTGCGATCGCTTTTAAGTCTGGAGCCTCTGAGGGATCTGGGCCTTCAATGAGCTTGGTGTCCCTTATAATTGTTTTTCTTGAGCTGTACACTGGCTTTATGCCATCGTTTCTATTGATTCATGTCCCAAGAAACAGCCATTCAAGAGTCACAATGACTTATTATTATAGGAATGCCGTGAAAGACACAGCCTTTGACATCATGTTTCATCTCCCGTTGTTAAGGACCCGAAGAGAAACTTCTTTCTGATCACTGTAGAGTATTTGCTTTTATGTTTGGGTCGTTCCGTCGCTCTGAAGCACCCCGTTACATCTGCTCCGGTTCTCCGGTTCTCCGCCGGGAACATTCTCTCAGCCCAGAGCGCCCTGTCCCATTCTTGGTAGGTTTAACCCTTCCTTCTCCCTCAGCTGTTCGTTCAAGTGTCACTGCTTTCTAACCAGCATCCATTCTCCCTTCTAAACAGAAACGTTCACAGCACTCGTTCTTTTTTTTTACTCAGTTAGTTTTCAGTTGAGTGATTGGTTGTTTGGTAACTTTTTCTCTCCTCCAGACCGATGGCAGGTAGATCCATGAGGGTAGAGACCGCGCTTCTTCTGCTTGTATCTCTAAGTGTAGTACCTCACACACAGTAGATGCCCAATAAACGCTTCCTGAACAGTTGAACGAATGACTGACTGTGGGCACTGAATCTTATAAGTGTTGGTATTCTCCTTTGGCTGTCTGGGAGCGCAGGCCTCCTTGATTTTAGCGAATGGGTTTGTAAGGGTCCTCATGGCATGCATTGTGTGCACTAACATTTCCCGATTATTTAATGTTTCTCCTTTCTTTGACCTTGTTTTTTAAGATTCCATTGTGTGCTCTCAATTCCCATGGGCCACTTGAAGCCTTTAGGAGAAAAGAAATAATAAACAGTTGGAAAAGAAAGGGAGAATTCACAGGGAAATGTTAGTGTCTAATTAGATGCAGGCGGGAAGTTTTCGTTTGCTTTTTGAAATTTTATTTTCACTGTGAAAATGCCTCAGAAGAACCCGAGGCCTCTCTCTGCCCTGAGACGTCCCTCCCTGCTCCCTGCGGCAGGAGGCTCGGGGCTGGGCCCAGCGGGGCCTCGGGGCCAGTGAGCCGGTGGGCACGGGCCACAGAGGCTGTCCGTGCCGCTGAATTCCATTCCGGCTGATTCTCCCTTGGGGAGGGTTTGGGGAGAGCCCGTGGGAGCTTTGCTTTCTGACTGTGAGAAGGAGAAAGAAATGAACTTGTCCTCTTGTGTTGCAGATTCAGTGGTTCTATCCTTTGACTCCGCTGGACAAACTCTAGGCTCAGGTACCAGTTCCTTCCTTCTGTCGCCCTTTCAGCTCTCAGCGCTGGCCACGTTTGAGGGGGAGCCTCAGGAGGTGGGGGGCGTCTGGGGGCGGGCAGGGGAACAGCTCAGAATTGTGGGGAACTCTCAAGGAGCCTTTCTAGGGAGACAGGGCCTGGGAAGCAGAGTGGACTACCACACCCAGAAGACTTTACTAGTGGCTTTAAAGTGTGCACTGCAGAGCTTGTAGGAGAGGCTTTTTTTCTCACTCAGAGTGGTCCAGGTTTTGTTTGTTGGTTTGTTTGTTTTAATATATATTTTATTGATTTTTTAAAAATATATTTTTTTTGATTTTGTACAGAGAGGAAGGGAGAGAGATAGAAGGCTAGAAACATCGATGAGAGAGAGTCATTGACCAGCTGCCTCTTGCACACCCCCTACTGGGGATATGCCCGCAACCAAGGTACATGCCCCTGACCGGAATCGAACCCGGGTCCTCCAGTCCCCAAGCCGACGCTCTATCCATTGAGCCAAACCGGTTTTTGCTATTTTATTGATTTTTTACGGAGAGGAAGTAAGAGGGATAGAGAGTTAGAAACATCGATGAGAGAGAAGCATCGACCAGCTGCTTCCTGCACACCCCCGACTGGGGATGTGCCTGCAACCAAGGCACTTGCATTTGACCGGAATCGAACCTGGGGTCTTTCAGTCCACAGACCGACGCTCTATCCACTGAGCCACACTGGTTTTGGCACGAGTGGTCCAGTTTTAAACACGGGTATGATTTCTGTCACGGAGAGTGGAGCAGAGGGCGCAGAAAGATGCCAGGCTCTGGGTGCGCTGGAGTAGCTAACTACCAGGCTTCCAGCAGAACGCCAGGCCGGTGAGGGCATCACAGCTTCCTGAGGACACACGCCTCACTGCACACTCCCACCCACACCCTCCAGGAGGCGCGCTCTGTCGTGCACTTTTCTTGCGCTCGTGCCGAAACCCAGGCAGGCCGCACGCTCCCGCTCTTCCCTGTGTCTGCAGGGCAGGACACACAGGTTGGCACACCTGCCCCTTTTACACAGTCGCCAGGCATGACCGTGCTGCTGGCAGTGAGCGGAAGGAGAGGTTACTGTGGTTCTTCAGCTTGCTGCCCTGGTATCCCCGTGGGAGCCCCGGGGTGACGTTCCTTTGTCAGAAAAGCATCTCCGCATTAAGCCTGTGTTTAGTTGAAGATGGTGGCGGGTGCTGCTTGCAAACAACAGTTCAGCCTTGGACGCAATAGATACGTGTTTCACAGAGCAGCCCCGAGGCTCAGGCGGTTGTGGCAGAGAAGGTAGTCACAGCTGCCGCTGTTCACTGAGCGCCTCCTGTGAGCCCACAGTGTGCTGAATGCTTCACGCACACCTTGCAAGGTAGACAACACATCTTTAGTTATAGATAAACGAATGCTTAAAGAGGTGAAGCAGTCTGTCCGGCTCTGGAGCCTATACTCTCTCCTTTGCCTTTTTTTTTTTTTTTTTTTAAACCAAGTTTTTATTGATTTTAGGAAAGGGAAAGAGGGAGGGATAGAGAGATAGAAACATTGATGAGAGAGAAACATAATCAGTTGGCTGCCTCCTGCACATCCCCTACTGGGCCCTGGCCGAGAATCGAACCAGTGAGCTCGTGGTTCATGGTCGATGCTCAACCACTGAGCCACGCTGGCCAGGCTCTCCTTTGCCATCTTGCAGTCTCATGCTTGATATGCTTGAGGTGTCCACGATCAAAATGCCGAGATAGGTGAAGTCACTTTAAGACAAAGTGAGCAGATAATGGTTTTATTCATATTGGAAATAGTATTATAATAAATTTTATTACATTCAAGTTAAGAACTTCTGTTAAGCCGAAACCAGTTTGGCTCAATGGATAGAGCATTGGCTTGGGGACTGAAGGGTCCCGGGTTCGATTCCGGTCAAGGGCATGTACCTTGGTTGCGGGCATATCCCCAGTAGGGGGTGTGCAAGAGGCAGCTGATTGATAAATCTCTCTCATCGATGTTTCTAATTCTCTATCTCTCTCCCTTCCTCTCTGTACAAAATCAATAAAATATATATATTTTTTAAAAAGAACTGTTAATTGGAAGATCCATGAAGAGTGAAACGGCAATCTAGAGTGAAAAAAGATATTTACAGCACCAGTAACCAATCAAGGGCTTGTTTCCAGAATAAAGAACTACAAAAACCAATAGGAATAAAGAAACAGTATAGAAACAAGCAAAAGAAGGAATAGGCACTTCACAAAAGAGGAAATCCATTGGCCAATAGGCCTATGGAAAGGTATTTGATTGAGTCAGTGTGTAGGGGAATGCAAATTAGAATTATAGTGAGATACTATGACTCATATACCAAAATGGCAAAGCTGAAAAGGCTTGATGTTTCTGCCGAGACTGGTTTGGCTCAATGGATAGAGCGTCGGCTTGGGGACTGAAGGGTCCCGGGTTCGATTCTGGTCAAGGGCATGTACCTTGGTTGTGGGCATATCCCCAGTAGGGGGTGTGCAAGAGGCAACTGATCGATGACTCTCTCTCATCGATGTTTCTAACTCTCTATCTCTCTCCCTTCCTCTCTGTACAAAATCAATAAAATATATTTTAAAAAAAAAAAAAAAGGCTTGATGTTTCTGTGTTGGTGACAATGTGGTACAGTGGAAACTGAGTTTCTACTGGTCAGAGGATGAATTGGTTACAACCACTTGGGAAAAGACCAGCTAAATTTGAATGTACCCCATGACCTGGCAGTTTCTCCCCTAGATATGTTGCCTGCATGAATGATGCTTATATCCACACCAGGGCATATGGTCAAGATGTACTAGTATAAGAATCTATCTCTGTCATTGAATGCAGCTACAGGCCTGGACATAAAGCGTTTAGCAGCTATTTGAGGACTCTCAAATATAAATAGTAGCAGATAGATTGGGGGAAAAGACACTGGCAGTGAGTTTCTCATTTTTCTTCTGGGTCCCATGTCATGGACTTGAGAAAGCCCAACAACCCGCGGTGGACACCAGGGCACAGAGAGAATTCCAGAAGACTTCTGGCTATGACTGTGGGGCAAGAACGGGGCTCTAAGGCTTGAACAGAGGGGAAAATCCAAGGTTTTTTGTTTTTTAAATAAATATATTTTTATTGCTTTCAGAGAGGAAAGGAGAGGGAGAGAGAGAGAGAAATATCAATGATGAGAGAGAATCATTGATCAGCTGCATGCCTCCCACTGGGGATCAAGCCTGCAACCCAGGCATGTGCCCTGACCCAGGATCAAATCCTCACCTCCTGGTTCACTGAACCACACCAGCCGGGCCTAAAGGTTGGTTTTTGCTCTGTTCTCTCATGCCCTGGTTCCCAGGCAGTCCCACGGTGGTGATGGAAGTGCCCGTGGCAGCCATGGGGCCTTCAAGCATCTAAAACAGGGAGGGAAAGGTGACGTGAAATCTGGTTGCTTTTCTCTCTCTCTCTGCCTTCTTGCTGCCTGCCCCAGATGTGGGTATAATTCAGGAAACAGGTGGCAGAATATGGTAACGAAAATCCCAGCTTTCTTGCCAGAGGGGAGGGGAAGCCCAATAAATTGGAAAGTACAGGAGGAAACAGGGAGGATATCAGGAAAGTGACTCCAGGAAGCTGTTGGTGAACTCCAGGCTCACTCCTGTGCCGTGCGTGTGATTCTAAAGAGGCGTTTGATTCTAACCAACCTGACAAAGACCTCGAGACCTGAACTTGGGAAGAGGCCACGGCCTGAGGCCCAGAGTGGATGCTGGCTCTGCATCTGGAAGATGCACCTGAACACGTTTTGAAAATGGAACTGGCATTGAAACCACAACCCACAGAAGGCTGGTCAAAACTTGCCACCTAAATCCAACCTGGTTGGTTGATTATCTGGTAAAACAAAAAAACAACGTTCCCCACATAGATTTAAATAAGAACTGAAGTTGCATAATGTAATATTCAAAATATCAAAAATCAATCATCATATGAAGAACCAGGAAAATCTCAACTTGCCTGGGAAAGACAATCAAGAGATGCCAATGCTGAAATGATACAGATGTTGGAATAAGCCAACAAAAACTTTAAAAGTAGCTGTTATAAAAAACGCTCCCAAGAGGATCCAAGATGGCTGCGCCCAGGTAACACCTAGCCGCAGCCGCACACAACAATTTCAATAAAATACAACTAAAATATAAAATGGACATTACCCAGAACTACAGGAAAGTCGACTGACTGGAAATTCTACAACGAGAAGCAAGGAGGAAACCAGAAGGAAGCGCGGAGGAGCTGGAAAAGCCCAAGGTACGGAGACGCGCGGCGCGGAGAGGACGGAGCCAGAGAAGAGGGAGGCCGAGTGCCTGGCGGGCGTTCCCTGGCGGGAAGGAGATAAAACTCCGACTGTGCTGGGCCCCATTCTGACTGCTCTGAACCCCAGTCCTAGGCCAGACCCCGGGGACCCAGGCTCACACAGAGGAAGCTGGGCTGCGAGGCGGAACCCGGGGAAGCGGCGAAAGGGGGTCCTGGCGGAGCACACAGTGCGCGCAGAGAAGGGACAGTTGGCTGTGCCGCGGGATTGCCTGGTGGGAAGGAGACAGGGGCGCCAGTCTGCTCTGAACGCCACCTCCAACTCCACTTCCAACTGAACTGAACCCCAATACCGGGCTCATTGGGGGAGAGCATTGACTGTTTGGCAGCAGGCGAAAATCGAGGGCACCTTTCTCTCAGAGGCGCCGGCAGCGAGCACTGAAGGACCCACATAGGGCGGGGCTGACGGAAGCCAAGGCTGCAGGCTCCACCCTGAAACTCCGCCCCATCTGTAGCTGCGAAATGCGACAACGAAATAGATCACAAACGAAAGAAATGGAGGACAAAAAGCGGCTGGATATAGAGTTCAAATCTACGCTTATAAGGTTTTTCAAGAATTTCCTAGAAAAGTTGGATAAGACCTATGAGGATATGAAAAGAGATCAACTAGAATTAATAAGGAATCAACAAGAAATAAAGAATACATTGTCT